TTTCTTTCTCTTTTTTTTTTAAGAAAATGATTCTTAGATCCTTTAGAATGAAATGGTAATTTGAAAGGATAATTTTAATTATTTATTTATTTCTTTGCTTTAGAAACATTACTAATTAATGTTACTTTCTCTATTATTTAAAGATGTTTCTTTTTTTTTTAAAAAAAAAAAAACTTTAATTTATTTATTTGATCTTTATTCAAAAATTTATGTTTTATTAATAACAATAGAAGCATGATATATCAAACAAGTTATTACAATCCTTTTAAGTAAAAAAAAAATTGAATATATAACTCGTCATCAATTCTTTTAAATTGAAAAATCAATTTTAAGAGATGAAGAACAAGTGTGTTTAATTCTTAAGCTATAGGAGTATACTTTAGAAAATATGGATCAGTTCGATTAAAATTAATTATATATTGATGATTTATAATTAATTTTATATCCATATGGCTTTGGGGTTGTATATTTTCTTCCCACATATTTAATATATGCTAACTTAGGTTTTATTTGGATTAAATTATAATTTTAATATTTTCTTTTAATTTATCTTGCTTTAATTTTGTATTCTTTTCTTATTTTATTATTTCCTATTTTATTAAATATGCATTATCTAAGCGAGATAAAGCTTTAATTTTGTATTGTTTCCTTATAAATATATTATTTTAACAATATAAAATTTTATTTTATTTTATTCTCATATTTTATTACAAATGCATTGTTTTAGCAAAATAAATTTTTTTTTTTAATAAATAGATAAATAGATTTTTATTCTTTTTTTTATTTACATAAATTTTTTAAAAAATTCTCTAATTTTTTCACAAACATTTTATATAATTTCATAAACAATATTTCTTTTTATTAAACCATTAACAAAAATGATAACAAAAGTAATTGGAAATAAAATTATTCTATCTAATTTATCTTTTGCTAAAGCAAGACAATTACCTAATCATTTATTTCTTTTATCAAATCCTTTATTATCTGAAAAGGTAGAAGTATTATCATTATATAATAATGGTAATTTAAAGAATCCTTTTACTTCTTCCTTTTCTTTTACTTTTAAAAATACTACAGATTATGCTGTTTCTATTAATCAAACAAATAAGAATGATAAAAAATATGTTAAAAAATATGATCAAAAAATTAAAACATTAGATTTTGGTTATATAATTCTTTTAGATGTCGATAAAAAATAAGCAAATTACATAAAAAAAATTAATAATCATAAGAAAAAAATAAGTAATTATCCTATACAAAATTATTATAAGATAAATGATATCAAAAACAATTTTATTTATCAATTAATTGATAATGAGTTGTTTGTATTATGTATAGTTATAAAAAAATTTTTTAATAATAATACATTTCATACGAATCAAAATAGAAATTTATTTCATAAAATTACTTATGATTTAACTTATATAGTTAATAATAAGAATTTTCAAAACATAATATTAAGTTTAAAAAAAATTCTCAAATTCACAAACTATTTATGGTGGTTATACGACAATGCAAGCTCATTTTAATTATTCATTACCATCACAAGATGAAAAATATTGTCGTGTTACTAAAGTTATAGAAAAATATATGCAAGTTCATTCCATTAATTTTACAAATATTAATATAAATGATATATTTAATTATTTTAAGACAAATAAGGATTTTTTTATGGATGTAGATCTTGGAAAAACACATTTTTCGAATATATTAGAATCAAATAATCTATATGATTTTTATTTTTATTTAGAAAATTGTCTATTTTCATCAATTATAAGCTCAGAATCTTTAATAGCAAATTTAATTAAAATTATTATATGATAATTTCAATATTGATTCACCAGGTATTGAAACAAAGCTTCAATTTTTAAAAGCTTTGCAATATATTTTAGTATACCAGGTAAAGCTGATCAATTAAATATATTACGACAAGGTGATACTGATCCACATAAAGATAATGTAGATTGTATGAATGCATTTTGTGCAATAGTAGTTTTTGGAGATTTTGAAGGAGGAGATTTAGTATTAAGTGAAATTGGAATTACAATCGAAATTAAAGGTGGATATATAATTTTATTAAGATCAGCTTTACTAGAACATTTTAATTTATTAATTATAGGAAATAGATTTGCTATAGTATACTATTTAAGAAAATATTTTTATAATGAAGTTTAATAATTATTTAATAAATACTTTATGTTAAAAAATATTATGTATTACCATTTGGTTGTTTTATCATCAATTAATTGAAATTAATTAACAAAAAATATAAAAAATATACGTTATTGTAAAATGATTAATTATTATTACTAAATAAGTAATTTCTAAATAAAGATTTGGTTTATATATTTGTAACACAATTCATTTAAAAAAATCATCATTATGAAATTGCAACAGTGCAATATCGTTAAAAAAATTACAATATTAATGTTTCAGATAAAACTTATTTTACCAAAAGTATTTCTAAATCAAGTTTTCAGATAGTTTCGGATATATGAGATAAAACTGAAGCGAAAAGTTCCAGCTTTAAGAAAATTGTTTCACCTATTATTTCGTCTGAAACACTATACAACACACAATTTATTATACTTAAAATTATTATAAGTAGGATGGATTTTTTCTAAATAGATTCAAACAAATCCAAACAATTCAAACAAATGTTAAGAATTAAACAATTTATAAAACTCAAATTATTCTATAATAAAACAAATCATTTTTTCAATAAAA